CATTAGTCAATCTATTTATATACACTTCATTTAATCTATTACCAACCAATGTGAGACTCATCACATTTGAATATCCTAACAATCTCTCGGTTAGTGTGAAACCCAATATTTGTACACTCTTTTTCATTTAAGTACTCCAGGCTCAAAGTATTGAGTTTTCCAACAAATAGGTAGTGATTAGGGGTGTAAATGGGCTGGCTGGGCTGGGCCGGGCTCTGACCTATTAAAGGCTTTATTTGTAGGCCAAACCCGGCCCACTTTTTAAAATAAGAAAGTCTGACATGGCCTACAGGCCTTGTAGGCCTCCCAATGTAGATACTAAGCAAAAATAATAATTGTATAGAGCTAAGAAAGTTCCATTCATTCATGCATGAAAACGAAAAAGTGTGCAATAAGGAATAAAATTGTATAAAAAATAAAAACCTTGTCAATTTGTCCAATAGAGACATGATATGCGTTCAACATATAAGGAAATCTAAACCAAAAAGAGAAAGAATGTTGACTAAATCTTAAGCAAAAAGGGCAATAATCACTGTTGATTTGTCAAAATCTTAATCAGAGATTGCATACTGATTTTGTGTTGATTTCGTAAGAAAAACAGATAAATTGGAGCTAAAGAGGAAAAGCTAAACTGAAGGCCCACGCTCACAGCGTGGGTATGACGCTCATAGCATGAAGGGAGCCCTTTCATACAGAGGCATCTACTCTATTGGCGTGGGAAACACGCTAGTAGCGCCAGAGATCAAATTCGGGCAGAGGCTATCACGCTACTGGCGTGGGAACCACATGAGTAGCGTCAGACCCTCAAAGAGCCCACGCTTGTAGCGTGGAAACCACGCTAGTTGCGTGGTGCTCCAGGATTATAAAGAAAAACTCCCACGCTCACAGCGTGGTAACCACGCTAGTGGCGTGGGAGGTGCGGACAATCAGCATTAAATCTTTTTTAAATCAGAGACAAGATTACAGTGAGATGCGGAAAAGATTAGATCAAGATTCTCCACCAGGTCAAAGACTCTACAAATAGAGACTCAGACCTCAAGAGAAAAACACAACTTTTACACGTGAGAAATTGCGAGCGACAGGAATCGGAGCCAGCTTTCGGTCACTAAAGATTCAAGATTTCTTCTTCCATTCTTTCCGGTTATTTTTAGTTTTATGAATTCTTTTGAATATTTGGTTTTGTCAGACATGAATATGTCTGGCTAGTCTTTTTATATTGTGGTAAGGGTCACAACCCTTGATGTGAACCCCTTGTAGTTTGGTTAATTTTATAGTTAATTATTTCAATTGAATTTATTTTACTCTGTTCTTCATCCATAATTCTTTTAGAATTCGCGACTCTATTAGGATCGTGAGGGTTAGGGTTTTCAATAGCAATATTGGAATTCTAATTCCTGACAAAGGGTAAATAACTGTTCATGTATGCACTAGGGATAGGCTACATGAACTGCAAATGTGGAAAATTCACTGGGCAAAAAGATTAACTTGAAAAAGGATTTCTAAGGGATTAGGATTCTAATAGGGTTAATAAAGTTAAGATCACTAAGGGATTATGGCTTAACTAATTAATTATAGATGGTGAATTGTTTGATCAATTGGGTAATTAAATATAAACATTAATCAATATTACAAAGAGGGGATCAGAAAGGTGTTGGAGTCCTTTGCTGCAATATCTTTTTATATATTTTTCTCAATCTCAACATTTTACTTTAAGTTTTCAAACTTCTTTCTGAATTGTTCACGAAATATTGAATAGTTCACAATTGTCACAACACAATTATTTCAAAAATCTCTTTTGTTACTCCAATAAGAAAAGAATAGTTAAATTAAATTTGGTGCCTCAATCCTCGTGGGACGATATTCTTACTCACTTTTTATTACTTGGTACGATCGGTGCACTTGCCGATTTTACGCAACAAGACACCGATCTGAAAGTGTTGAGTGAGTGATTGAAGTCTTCAAGTTCTGTGTACCATGAAGAAGATCACAAAAATGGGGCTTTTGGGAGGGAAAAAAAAAGACTAAGAGAAAGATGAGAGAAGGAATGTACGCTGCGTACCTAAACAAAGGAGCTTCAAGCAGAGGTGGCTGTCGGAAATGACCGGCTACAAGCACAAGGGTTCTAAGAGAAAAGACGAAGCCGAGAGTGAGAAGCGGCGGTACACATAAAAATTAGGGTTAGTATTGGTACTTTCACATAAAATAAATATTATTTTATTTTAATAAATTAAATAGGCCAGCCTACAAGCTGTAGGCCGGGCTTGACAAAATTGGTCTATGACCTATTTGTTAAAAAAGTTTTTTTATAAGCCTAAGCCTACTCTACTTTTCTGAAAGGTAGGGCTAGGCCGGGCTTAATGTAGGCCGAGCTGTAGGCTGGACCGCACTAGCCTGGCCCATTTACACCCCTACTAATAATTTTAGTTTGCAAACATGACACGTTTATAGTGGTCATCTAATTCACTATTGATAATAGCAAATTTGATGGTTAAACAATCGAGGAGGGATATTCTCACAACTAAAATTTTTTACTACCAACTTACTACCTATCTAATCACTAGTAGATTAACATTTTTTCTCTCTCTCGAAACACTTTTTAACATTTTCTCTCCTTGATCCAATGATAATGTGATAAGTAATAAGTTAGTAGTGAAAATTTTTAGTAATTAAAATATCATCACTTTAAAAAATCAGTCTCCTCTAAATAAAAACATAACATAGTGGGATATAAATTCGCCACACAAGCTAATGAATATAGTAGCGCACTTTTATATGATTCTGACTGAATAAACAACTAATTTGAATACTTTTAACACTTTCGTACGATTACCGAAATAATATTTTTTTTTCCAATTACAATTCAAAATAGACGATTATATAAATAACGGAAAAATAGTTATTCTTTTAAATGACACAACTTATATTTTTTCACTCTCATAAAGAGGTAAGACCCATACTTTTATTTTTTTTATCACTCCTCATTTATCTATCTCTTTCTCTAATGACACACTTTTTCCTTAATAAATAATTATAACATTTTCATTAACATTTATGCAGCACTTTTCTCGGAGCCACCAATATCAAATCACCCATCACCAACAAACTACGTTGAAGGCCTGCGCCCATTTTTCCACGAGTTATCACAATCGACGCTAGATAACCGTTACGTAGTCTTCAACTTTACTCAATACCACAATTCAAATGGAAAAAAAATAAGATACAATTTTAAAAAGAGAAAATCATTAACGCGTCAACTGCAGAGATAATTTGTGCACTTTCTTTCACATTAACAGTTGGTGTTATTTTTTTTTTTAAAAAAATAGTGGATTTAGGATTTTATTTTTGTGGCAGAAATTTGCTTTGCAGAAACGTAAAACTCTTTAAAAAATAGGAAGAAATAAAAAGTTATCCCTCCTTTAATTCAATATTATTTAATTATTTTTTTCTATTTTTACATAAAAAGTAAAATATATATAAATGAATATACATATAAGTAAAAAAATTTACTTTAGTACTCTTTTCAAAAAATAAAATATTATTATTTTTGGTAATTTTTGAATTTTTTGTCAAGAATTAAAAAAAAAATTGTGGTAAATTGAGGGGAGAAACCCACAAAAATTCTTTTCAATAACTTTATTTGTGAGTGTGTAAGCGCAATTGGTTTTATGTTTTTTTAATAATTCTATAAATGTTAATGAAAATGTTATAATTATTTATATAATCGAATATTTTGAATTGTAATTGAAAATATAAATAACTAGGCACACGTACGAAAGTGTTAAAAGTACTGAAATTTTTACCAAAAAAAGAAGTACCGAAATAAGTTGTTTATTCAAAATCATTGAAAAGTGCGCTACTATACCCGCCAGCTTATTTAGTGAATTGGCATAAGATTGTCAGATGTTTTATTTTGTTTGCAATGTATTGATTTTTTTACCACTTGGCTGTTTGGATTTTCTTATTTTTAAACTATAAGTTATTTATAAGCATAAGCTAAGTCAAATAGATTTTGGGAAAAATTTTTATAACAAATATTTTTTTTTATAATGAAGAGAAAAGCTAAAAATTAAAAGCTCATAGGAAAAACTTTTGTTTAAGTTCTTATCTGTTTTTCTTGATTGTGTGCTTTTTTTTACAATGAAAATTGATAAAGACAGAGAGAGATAATTTTATTGAAATATGTGCTTTTAAGTAATTTTTAAGCTAAAATTATTATGTAATTTTCAAACAGTTTTTAATTTCTTTTTTAAGCTCTTTTTTTTTACTTTATTTTATAAGTAACTTCTAGCTTAAAAATAAAAGGATCCAAACAAGCTCTAAAATGTCATGTTTACAAATTAAATTTGCTATCTGTTATAACAAATCGAGGGGGAGTTTGGTAGTCGTCATTTTACAGGATTCTCAGAAATTTTTTAAAATTTTAAATTTTCGAATATTATTGTAAACTGAATGTTTTCATTATATTTATGAAAATTGAGATTCCCGAATAAAAAAAAGTTCTCTTCTACCAAACACTCCCTGACTACATTTACATGCGTGATATATTTTAAATTTTTACTGTTTCTGTAACATTTTGAAATTTATTTTAAAAAATATGACATTTAAATCACTATTCCGAATATTGGTATTCGATAATATATTAGAAATTTTGTCAACCCAAAAAAATAAAAATAAAAAATAATTTATCCTGGAAAGCAACTGGTGCACAGGGTCGACATCTCACATCAGTATCGCCGTCGTTATTCGACGATGTCGTTTTCAATACCTAATTAGAGAGAGAAGGTAGGGCAAAGCTCTGATGTGCCACCGCCTCATGTTCATAGGCGGGTCCCGCACAAGGCTTTCGTGGAAGCGGGACCCAACCAACAACTGCGCCTGGATCTCAAACGAATGCCCAAACTTCGTTCTATAATCAATTTCATGTCCGCCACGTCACCCTAGCGTGCCGACTATTTATTGAAAACTGGCTTTTTCCTGCGCTCTATTTGGTGCATAGCGACCACCTGTTCGAGATATTATCTCTCTCTCTAAAACTCGTTCACAATCTCTCTCTCTCTCTCTAAAACCGTTCACAATCTCTCTCTCTCTCTGTTCAGTTATCAACATCTTCAAATCTTTAGAATCTGGGCTGCGTGATATCTCTATTGGCATTCGAGGCATTTGATTCCGATCTTGCAACGGAAGCTAGGGTTTTGAACTTCTCTGATTTTCTTCGGATTTGATTTGCCGATAATAATTTTGTTATGGCTTATCGTAGAGGACGAGATTTGTTTAACGGCGACGGGATCGATCCAGTGGATCCATTGAACGGTGAGGATTTTGATGATTCTTCGTCTGTGGACAGTGCCTCTTCATGCGGAGGAGGTCGATCCAGCGCGAGTTCTACTTTTCCGGGAGAGTACGGCGGTTCGAGGCGTGAGGTTGGGCTGACGGAACGGTTGACTGATATTCTTGTTGACGAAGGCGACGGAGATCTGTTGATTCAGCAGACCAATCGGGAAGACCGGCTGTTGCAGTGGTTGCAGGCTCTTGATATGCAAGTTATGGGGGCATGTCGCGCAGACGAGCGTCTGAAACCCTTGCTGAAGATGAACACTGCCTGTGGCGTCACCGAAGATCCCCTCCTGACTCAATTAACTCAGGTGAGCTCCTTCATTAACACCGTGTGAAGTAGCCTTTGCTGTTATCGTGATAACTATCTTTATGTTCCGTCTTCTAATAACTTTATTGCCGCTTTCTCTTGTGATTTGCTGAAGCGCCTATCTCTCTCTCTCTCCCCCCCTCTTTCTCTCTCTTTTTAATGTCTTTCGCTATACAGCATTTCGAACCGTCGGAGGTTGGTATGTTAGTCAGATGCTTCTGCGTGCCTCTTGTTTCGATCCGCGTTGGAAAGATCAACCAGGAAGGCACTCGCTTATGCCCTACTGCTATTAGGTAATGTTATTTTAAATCTTTGCGGAAGTCTACCTCTTGTTCCCCCCTCTTCCTAGATGGGGCGAATCTTTTTAACTCTTCTATTGTCATATTATGACCTTCGTTTACACCAGTTATTTATATTATGCATTCTATAGAATAGACTATATGTTTAACTGTTCAATCGTTCATTTAGCATCATGTAATATTAACGTTATTTCATTCCATTTTTATTTTTTTTTGTTATTGTCGCCATTTTAATTGGGTTCCGCGATCACCCACTCCGATCAAAACATGTCATTCTCTCGATGCGATTAATTCATGTCAGTAGAGATGGTCAAATTACTGAATGAATAACCATACGTTATTCTTACTGGCATGACTATCTACTGGGAATTCTTTTGTGTCTTCAATTATGCTTTGTTATCCCATGCAGGCTGCTGGTTTAAAATAATACGTGGTGTTAGTGAAGTTCTGATTTTTTCCCAGTATGTCACAGATATAAATATACGTGTAAGTTAGGGTCTATGTGCGTGAAATTGTGTAAGTTTGAATCATGATTTGGTTCCAGTTCTCCTCACGAGTTTCCTACACGTGTTTCTGCATTCCTTTTGGATCATTGAAGCATGGGATTTTTTTTTCCGTGGCACTTTTTATTTATTTATTTTTTCAAATTGAATGTGATCATGTCGGATCACTTTTACTCTGTTTCCACCTTATCTGTAATAAGGCTGCATGCTTCCTTCCATCATTTTTGACCTTCTATGTATTGTGACTAGGAGATTTGGTTGGTTCCAACTTCCTAGATAAACAACATTTTTGCGACCAACTATCTAATTTTGAATGATTGATTAACATACATAAATTTCGTTTTACCTGCTTCCACAGGTATGAAGAGTTAACTTTTTTTTTTTAATGAAAACTTGCTGTTTTTCTGTACACTTTGAAATGGGCCAACCCTGGTCTAATTCCTTTAGGACTTCCCAGCCCAGCCCTTGTGGGGGCTGTGTGGATGAGGCTCACCATCACTGCACTAATGCTCTAAGCTAAAGTGTAATTTGTGCGTAACGAAGAATAACTAGTCCACAGCCGCAGCTGCAAAGGTAATGAGGAATGTCTCTGCTACATCCACTCTGGGCAGGCCAATGGGCTAGGGGTTCAGTTCTGGAACTTCTGGTTCTGGAAGAAAAAAGTAGGTCAGAAATAGGTCTGTTTTTGTAGGGTCTGTAAATATATGGCCTGTACGTATTATCATTGGGGCCAAACAAGTTGGCTGACAAGAGTGGGCCTTATTGATAGGTTTAGTTTTTTGAAAACAGTTGCCTATTGAGTTCATTTATACCGCCTACCAGTGGTCCAGCAACCACTAAGATACTTGTGCAGCTCCATCTATAGTATATTTTGAATTTTTTTTTATTGATTCCTTTTAATTTGTAGAAGTTAAGGCTTAAGAATTTTGGTTTCCTTGTAGACTTGTTACTTGGCATTTAAATTTAATTTATATGTGCATGTATATATATGTACACGTATACTTTCATGTTATGTATAGTTCCATTTATAGCGGTTATATGACTTATTCATAATTGTGTAACTGATTTTCTACTTGGTATAGTCGATTACTCATGCATTTTGCTTTGCTACATTGTTATTCTTAAGGTTGAAATAGCATATACTTGTCTGCTATATGTGGACTAACATATATACTATTGTAATTTTGCTTCCCATTACTTCTGTTTAGCTGTCTGCAGCAATATGTGAAAATCCTTGTGGTTTTATACTGTTTATTTTTCTTGCCATACTTGTGATATAATCTTACTAAACTCTGTAGTTTGTTGAATATTAGGTAGTAATTAATGGAGTCTGTAGTTTAGTTTATTGATGGTAATATGTTCATTCTTCCAAGTAAAAATGTCTTTTGACTTGTAGGTAACTGGGCGTATTCTATTAAGATCTCTGAATTAAGAGGAAGTAAAGGTAGTTTCATTATCCTATATTATATATATTGTTGCTGTTCAGATTTTCAGATCTCTATAGGTTTGAAGCAGTTTATGTGGGGAAAAACAACACATTGACTAGGTTACGTACAATCAAGCAATATGGCATTTATTTGCATATCTGTATAATGTGCCTTGCTGTGTATTTGATACTGCATGTTATGTGCTTTTACAATGAGATGCCAAACATGTTTTCTTGACTCCCCTCCCAATTTCCCCCCCATCAATATGATTGCATATGCATAGAATGTCTTTTGCTAATTGTCTAAATTAGCGGATTTAATATGGATTTCATTATAATTGTATTCTATTTTTTATATGCTTGTTGTAAACTGAAATTGAAGCAAAATAAACAGGTAGAAAATGGTTAGGATTAATTTTTCTCTCTCAGGTAGATTATGAGGGCGAGCCTTGGAGTTGTAGTAAGTTTGTTCCTTGTGATAAGAAGATAATGGGTTGAGATTGGGAAACAGCTTCTTTGCAAAAATGCAATAGTAAGGCTGCGTAAAATTGACCCTCATTCCTACCCTCGCAAGTCGGGAGCCTTATGCACCGTGGTTTGCTTAAATAATAAAAATAAAAAATTAGGTAGATATCTGTATTTAAAATGGTGGAAAGGGTTCAACGTGTTGATTAGATCATTTAGACAAATTTTTTAATGTGGCTGTAATTCTGTCTCTTTAATGCGCCTTCTGTTCATCAATTATGATTTTGCAGTTGGAAGCCAATGTGGCTTTGTGCCCAGAACTGATCCGTGTTTAGTATTGTATTAGAAATAGTAATTAGAAGTACTTGTTCCCTGAAAGATACCAATATTTTTCAAGGTCTAGCAGGAATTTTATAGACACTTATTTTAGGTATGTATACTGGAGGGAAAATAATGTTGACATGAATAACTTTGATGAATTCATTTGTTGTATATTCCTGATTTAACCATAAAATACCAGGAAAGAGTCAGAATTATAAACTATGTTTCTAGTGATGAAAATATGGTCTGTTCTTGTGTTGTGGGGACTGATTTGTATATGTATTTTGTTATGACTAAAACCTAAATGGTTAATTGGAAGATGGCCTTTTTGTATTGTCGGGCTAAGATGTTGAACTTTGAACGTTCTGCATCACAGTTTCAGTGTGCAAATTTGATACATTGCTAGTCTTGTTTATTTCGTTACTTGTCTTCTTAATTATCCATTGATAATTTATCATCTCATCTTGACTTGTTCACAGGGGTAACTTGACACTTGTATTACTGCCAAGTTCTGATCTTCGTCTCTCACTCATTGGGGATGATGGTAAAACTGAGAGGTTATTCACCCTCACCAGCAAATCCCAGTGCTCTGCTGTTGTGGTTGATGAAATCCCATCCGATAGTTCTGGTCGTTCCTTCCTAGTAAGGACTCCAGATAGCAGAACTTTTTACTTCTGGTGCTCAGAAAAGTCTAAGCTTTTGGGAATTGAATTGCTTGCCAAGGTAATTTTGGCTATTTTTCTTGCTTGAACTCATGTACTTAATTTTTTTAGTATGGCTTGGTATTAGATATGAAGATCGTTCTGCATTCTTCCTAGTGTCTCCTTTATTTTGGTAGTGTCTTGAATATATTTTTTATGATCGATATATTTTATTTATCAAACTAATTTTCCAATAAATCAGATGAAGGATTTGCTCAGGAGGAAACCATCCATTGCTGAGTTGAGTGGTATTAGCAAGTCACGGCTTGACTGCTTTGCAACTCAACTTCGTGCTTTTCTTGTGGGATCAACTGGGGGCAGTAGTCATGATAATTCAGTTTGTGCTTCAGCATCTGCTAATTCCACGGCTTGCTGTACTTTTTCATTTGAAAATTCGCAATCTTCATCATCAAAATTTCCCCGTTCTCGACATATTGGAGGTCAGACAGCAAAGGGAGATACAACGCTTTTCCAGAGTATTCTTAGTCCAAGATCAAGTTCTTTTAAAGAGGTTCCCCCAAGAAACTTGTCTTCCCACAGGATTGCTGCGAGGGAGAAAATAAAGCGTCGTGGTGACAGTCATCAGCCAGCAGCAGACAGCTTGACAAATGATTCAACAAACTTCTTGGATTTATCTTTGAATTCTGATCATGACAAAGCTTCTGAAGTTACCAAAACCCTTGCCTTTTCTCCAAGTTTTCTGGGATCACTAGGAAAGCTTACTGTTCCATCAAGCCTTGGGCCAGGGAGGGAAGTCCCTCCCCTGGTGTCACCCCTTTTTTCTCCTTACTATTGTTGGTGTCCCCCTGGGATTTCTACTTATCCGTCCATTGCAGCACTTCCACAATCTCCTGGTTCAACTGTTGAATCACTTCATCTTCCCCCAGGCGCCTCTTTATTGCCAAATAGTCTTTCAGCTAGCCTGTTGGAACCAGTACAGTCCCTTAATCTTAGTACCTCAATGGACTTTCCTCCATTTCTGCCTGATCCATTGGTCAGAATGTCATTACCAACTTCTCAGCAGATTCCCACTTTCACACCATTAATGTGTGATCCAATTGTTCACGTCCCGGTGATAGATGTGTGCTCTTCAGGTCAGGGTTATTTTGTGACTGCTGGTCCTGCTATTTCAGCTAGCATTCCACCATTGCATCCAAAGCTTGTGAAGCCACTTATTTCTGATTCTGATGCTGTGGTGAAGGGTGCAAGAGAGACTCTAAGGTTGCTGATTAGTGGTTCAAGCCAGGGTAACCAACAGTTGATGATGGACACTTTGCCAGCAATTTTAACTAATCCGGATGAAAAAAACAACGTATTCGTTGCTGGCAGCCGTGGTCTTTATAGAGGAACCAGGGATATTAATGTTATTGCAAACAGCATTGCTGCCATGGGATTAGTATCACTTTCTGAGGTTCCCAAAGGAGAGAGTGATTTGGAGGTATGTACCAACTGCGAAATTTTGGAAGCAGTGAAGAAATCCAATGATTCAGTCTTGGATGATGACGGCGGGTCTTTGGATTTCGAGCAGTAGTAGTGACGGATGCAGTTATGTTTTACCTTTGTGGTGTATCTCTTTTGTCCAGAAAATGTAGATATGTTCTGCAGTAGTCCTTTTCAATGGTTTAGTACGAATTTTAATGGTTTAGTTCTTCTTCTTCCTTGATTGTTAATTGATTAGAAATTTAAAATTGTGAGTTAGGTTTTGGCCAGCAGGATACGCGTTTTCAGTGCATTTGTGTAGTGGTCTTCATGCGAAATGGGTATATGCAAAGTAATCAAAAATTCTGTCAATCAAATTGAACTGTATGTAAAATAATTGGTTATAAAATTAGTTCAAGAACTGAATTGGTTTTAAGTAGAGTCGAATTGTTTTTGAATCGAGCTTTATTGTTTTTACCAAATCGATCCGTTTTTGAATCGAATTGTTTTTTAACTGATATTTTGTTTTAGTTTCTAAAAAAATTCAGTTTAACGTGAAATTGGGATGGGGTTTTCCTTTATTATGGTTTTATATCGGGGAGGCTTTAAGCTATAGTGCTCGAGTGTTCCCACGAGATGGCTGGTGACATGTGGTGTAATATAGTGCAAGCTCAATTGAATTACGAACAACTACAGTTGTTTCTTGGATTTCATCCTTAATGTGGTTGTAAGTTTGGTTTTGATAAATGATCCGAGAGGAAGGGGAAAACTTAAGATGAGATAGTAAAATCACAGATAACATGGTTATATGATGTATGTTGAATAACTCTTAATAACTACTGAATATATTAATATAATAACTTCCGTTGCGAACCGTCATATTTGTTAGCTAATAGTAATTTGAAGAAAAGACAGCAAAATATGATATATTAGCTAAAACGAAACTAAAAATAATTCTTCAAATAAAAAGGAGTGTTAAAACTTTCAAATTACAATAAAAAAATTTGACAATAAAAATGACTGTTATAAAGACACTATATCATGTTAGAATAGCTCTTAGAATAGTTTTGTGTATATAATAAAATAGTCCTAACATATTGTGGTCTTAACCCATCAGATTTTTTTAGTCTCTTTTAAATAGATAATTTTTGTACATTCTAACACACAATTATCCAATATATAATTATTCTATTATTCAATCTCAAGTTGGTATCAAACCTATTTGTTCTGGGGATCTGCTTCTGCTAAAATCCTAAGCCCATTGCTTGGTTGTTCTCTTTTACTATGTCGTGCGTCCTTTCGACAAGTCTTCATCAGCTGTGTGTCCTTCCAGTAGATCCTTTACACCGTGCGTCTTTCTGGCTTGTTCTTCAATTGTCAGAACCACCGATTGCCACCAGAACCACATATCGTCACTGTTCGCAGCCACCGGAGAATTGTTCTGGCGTCGATTTCAACCGGAAAGCCTACGATCAGAGCCCTCTCTCTTCGGAGACCAAGGCTGTGGAAGACCTTTCACCAGAGGAGTCCCCATGCACCTTCACGCATGGGCACAACTCCTTTCATCAGCGCGTGTGCACTATTTCGATGTCATTTTCTGGTCATTTCGGGACAAAATAGCTCGATTTTTCCTCCTCTTTTCAAATTTGTGCTTGGTTCTTTGTGGGTCTCATTTTCGGCGCGTATTTCTTCTTCACTGGGTATCGTTTGCTTTGTTTGCGGCTTTCTATATTTTGTTTTTAATGGCAACAGTGTCCCCTGATCACTCAGAGGTTAACTCTCCTTCTCCTCCTGTCAAAACTTCCTTGGAAATCATCTATACTAACGTTAGGCCCATTACCTCTTCCGAACTGAAGGGTTCTGATAACTACAAGAATTGGGCCACCTCTGTTCATGTCTGGTTCTTTGGATAGGGGCATGTGCGTTATCTCACTGTTCCATCTACCGATATCCCTAAGGCTGAGTAATCTGATTGGCAAAAGATTGATAATCAATTTCTGAGTATTCTTTGACAGTGTCTTGATCCAATTATTTTGGATATTTTCTATTCTTTTCAGACATGCTATGAAGTTTGGGAGGAAACCAAACACATCTAAACTAATGATATCCAGCAGCTCTATTCTGTTCTGTCTCAACTCATGAATTTGCACAAATAGTCAGATATTCAAATGGAAACATATATTGGCAAAAGTCGATCTTTGATGCAGGTATACTTGGACATGTTGTCTTACCCTTCTGATGCTTCTTCATATCGAAAACATGTGTAACGTCTCTTTATGGTTACCACTCTTTTTGGTCTTTATGAGGAACATGATGTTGTACGTGACACTATCTTGACTAGAGGGGATCCTAGTCTATCACTGGCCAACCAACGCCTCTTGAATCTCAACAATAAATGCATTCCTGATTCAACTTTGGTTGTTGATTCCACTGCTCTTGTTTCCCGTACTGACACTTGCGGGAACAGTGGTCGCGGTCGTGGCTGGGGCCTGGGCAGATGTGGTCAGAGACCTCGTTGTAATTATTGTTAGCAACTTGGTCATTTTGAATATCATTGTTACTCGAAGTATCCTCATCTGAGAATATAGCTCAGTCAGACACTGCATCATTTGGTTCAGTTTCTCTCTCACCTGCGGACTATGCTGCACTCTAGACTCTTTTCAAGAAGGCTTCTCCACTGTCTCAGACCTCCGCTCCAGATATTGGTAATCCCATTGCTCGTGTTTCTCATTCTAAATCACTTGGCCTTTGGATATTTGACTCAGGAGCTACCGATAATCTCTGTGGTAATAAGGAACTCTTTACATCTCTTATTTATTCTGATAATCTTTACATCTCTTACTTATTCTGATAATTTTCATTCTTTTACCTTTGCTGATTCAACCATAGCCCTAGTTTGTGGGATTGGACAAGCTTGTCTAAGCTCTACCTTGATCTTGACATCTGTCTATTACATTCATGACATCCCAACTTAATTTCTATTAGTAAATTAGTCCACTCCCTCACTTGCACCATTACTTTCTCTAACCATTCTATTTCTGTGCAGAATTCGGATATGTGAAAGACGATTGGAGTGGGTCATGAGTCATAAGATCTTTACTATCTTGTTATGCCTCGTGCTTTAGTGCTCTCACAGAATCTCCACAATTTATCCATAATCACCTCGGTCATCCAAGTTGCATAATATGATCCTTTAGCCCTTACTGATTCACTGAACCGAAAAGAAAGAATTCTTTTCTCTTGTCAGATTTCCACTCGGATACATAATTACATGTGTTGTATTCCTTAGATAATTTGATATGCACTTAAATTAGTATATGACATATGTAAAAATGCTTTTCAAAAATTATGTATATTTAAATACAATTTATATATGCATATCAAATAGTTATTTAAGTGCTTATATTAAAAATGTACCTAAAAAAAAGTGCTTATAATAAATTGTAACTACTTAAAAACATTTCGTTAGTTAAAATAATTTTTTTTTACTGTGACCCGAAACCTTGAAGAACACTCGGGACACTTCAATAATTGATCATCTGGTACAAGTGCGCATCGAAAGCAAAGCGAAATAATGTAGTTTTTGTCATTTAACCTGAAAGACTAAACGCTTGGTCTGCGAGAATAAGAGGAGAGAGCCTTAACCGCCAAGGACTGTGACCATTTGTAACCTGTTAGATGTCAGATATGATAATGAGGTCAACTGGTCCAGGTTACAGAACAAAAAGGTAGGCAACCACCCACGTATGATGCTAATTGTGGATCCCAAATACGAACTATGTGCTTAGCTCCTGTCTTAATCGAAAAACACCATTTATGTTTGTGGCCAGCTGGACTGTCGGCCCAGCAAAAAGTTTTTTTACTTTTATTTTTCTTTATTTTTTTGCATCGCAGGCCGTTGCATTTTGATTTTTTTTTTTCGGTCTATGGCATTTAGATAATTTTTTTGTTAATAGTATGATATTTTAGTCATTGTCCCTACTAATTAAGCTGCAATGATTGGTTGAACACATCAGAGATAAATAATTTATTCATAATTAATGTAGAACGAAAGAAATTTATGGAGGTTTTCATTTGGTGTGACGTGAGCGTTGATGATAGTTGTCGAAAAATTGCCAAACTATTAATGCCAATAGGGGGCATGATATTCTAAACCGTCTGATAAAGTTCTAGTAGTATAAAAAAAAACAAAAAACGAATCATTATCATTTTTTTTCTTTGAAAATTAAGTTACTCTTCTAACAACTAATGGTTTTGCTTTTGGATTGTAAACATCTGAGTTTTGAATTTGATATCAAATCTGCTACCTATTATTATATCAAGATCTTCAGATGTATGTTCTTGAAAGTCAAGGAACTGCTTTTTCTTCTGTAATAAAATAGGTGACAAAATTTGACAACTTGGCTTTTAGACAGTAACAGATAGATTTTCCAACATTGTGTGTCGTAACATGGATTTTGTTAGCCCAACGAGGTCACTGGGGCCAGGCATGGGGTCATTGCGGCCCATGGTGGACACGGCAAGACATAGTCTATAGGGGTGTTCATCAACCGATCCAAACCGATTCAAACCGCGAAAACCGAACCGAAAAAACCGATAACCGAATAAACCGAAAACCGAAAAATTGGAAACCGAAAAAAAATCGCAAATTTTAATTGGATTGGATCGGTTTTCGGATGGGTTGATGAAAACCGATCCAATCCAAACCGATCCAATATATTAATTATCCTCTACCTACTTGTCCTTTTTTCAATCATAGCCCAAAAAATTCTAAACTCAAGACCCATTAACTCATCACCTAAACTCAAGAAAAAACTTAGTCACGTCTCATCAACTATAGTATTGTTTACTTATAGTTTTGTATTTCAAAAAAAATAAAATTACTAAGCCAATATATACAAAAGATATTATTTGCACAATAATCATGAAACTAATTTTAGGATATTCAAAAAACCGAAAACCGATCCAATCCAAACCGAAAAAAATTAGATTGGATCAGATCGGATTTGAAAAAAAATCTAAACCGAATGGATGATTAAATGATCAAACCGAAGGGATTGGATCGGATGAGTTTTGTTTCCAAAACCGATCCAATCCAGACCGCGAACACCCCTAATAGTCTATATATATATATATATATATATATATATATATATATATATATATATATATATATATATATATATATATAGAGGAATGATTTATTTATAATTTTTTTTTATAAAGTACATTATGTACTCCCGTAAATACATAGTATAACTTAGTATACTTCCGAAAGTACATAGTGTAATTTGTAAGAATTTGTAAACAAAAAATTTATAAATATAACCCTCCCCATATATTAATATTACTTATGTTCGGCACAAGAATCTTAATTTAACA